AGTTGTCCCTGCCCATCGTGGAGGGAGGAAGGGAACAAGATAGAACATGGTTTTATAGTGGACTTGGCAGAGTTAGTTTCATGGTTGGACTCAGTGATCTTAGAAGTGTTTTCCATCATAAGTCATTCTAAGATTCTGTGATCTTTAAGGACCCTTCCAACACTAACCACTCTATGACTCAATTCTAATATTCTATTTTCATTCTATTCTGAAAAATTTTCACAACATGCAGTACTGTTGCAAGGGAAAAGCTTGACATGTTCTGCAGATATATACCACATTGTCTTCACACTATGCCAATCTGCTGTGATTTCTTCTCTGGCACAGGAATAGCACCCCCTCCTCCCCCACATACCAATGCTCTGTTACATTTAAACAGAGGTAAAATTAAACAGAGGTAAAAATTTTGGCTGTAATAATAGGCAGCAATTAAATAAATTATTATTTAGTTTCAGAATCCCCTGAAAATCAGCTCATTAAATGTCTTCTAAAGGAAAGCAAAATTATGTCTAGGGAAGGCATGTGGGTGTTGTGCTTGTGTAAGAGGAAGAAAAAAAAAAGTTTTATGAGGGGAATGAAATCTTGTTTTAAAAAGATATGTTTCATAAAAATTGCTCTTATTTATTCAAAACTATAACAACAAAAGACTACTTCTCAGACAATAACTTGATTAGGACTGATTTCTTGTTTCTCAGGAGAGCTATATTTCACATGTACCCTCCTTTGAATACTGGATTTAATTGTAAATATTTCTGCTAGTGTGTCGTATCTGGAGATATGTGGGGCAGTGTTCAGCAGTACAGCAAACACAGCAGTGGAGTGGTCGGGGGTATAGTCCTGTCGGGAGTGATAATCTATAGAGAGAAGTGGTGGAAGCTGATGGAAGTATACTTACACAGTACAACAGTAGCTCATCATGGAAACTGCCCATGGGGAATATTTAGCTAGAAATCTGCAGGATATTTTTTTTTTCCCAGAAATCAAATGCTATTACTCAAAATCCTCTGGACTTAGAATCACACTCTGGTTTTAATAAATATCCTTCATCCAAACCAGTTGCTTACAGCCACCAGTTTGGACTGTTGCTAGGGCATCTCAGTGGCATCTCAAACAAATTTCTTGCTTTTTCTCTCTAGGCTGTGCTCTTTCTCAGGGCTCTGAAAGCAGCAGGATCTTGCTGTCCTGAAATATTTTTCTCTGTACCCAGCCTTTGCAACCCTAACAGCCCCGAGGGATTTAGTTGTCGCTGTTCAAGGCTTGCTCTGATGTGGTGCAGCCATGTAATCTTAGATCAGATCTCTGGAGAACAAAGAAGCAGTAAGAGATTAAATGAGCATCCCTTTGCCTGGCTGTTGATTTACACCACCAGCCCCTGCCCAAATTATGTCTCGATTTTTCCTGTCTGTGTCTGGCCCATCCCTGGCCTGCCCTTGCTGGATCCTGTCCCCATCTTGCCCTGGGATGTGCACTCCCATGACAGACCTGCCTGCCTGGCTGCACTGAGGCCAGCCCTGCTCTTCATCACCCAGCCAGACCTGTTCAGCTGCAGAGAGATTGTGTCCCTTGTTGGGAAGGCCTTGCTGCCACCCTTAGCTCTCCTTCCTTTCTGGAGGCTCTTCTCTACTTCATGGGTATGAAATACATTAGTAATAGTTAGTTCATAAATGTATTATATGAAAATCAGTATCCTTTTCCACTTGCTGTTTTCTGTTTCACTGATGAAAAAAGTGTGTACTTATTATTTACTATAACGAGCTGTTCCCGGTATTTTAAATTTAATTAATTTAATTCTAGAACAAAGCAAAAAATACACTTCTTTGAGTATAGAAAAATCAGATATGAATGATGCCACTCTGAAACTTTTACTGGGTGTACATACATTTTTAAGTTCTCTTGTCAGAATAGTCCTGAAATTTGCAATATTTTTGAAGGTTGTGATGATTTGAGGCTTTTGGATGGAAGTGTAGATGCTTTCCATCAGCAACTGTGTAAGAATATCAACTTTTCTTAGCTGAGAAAAATTCTACATTCCTTATATATGCCATGAATTGAAGAGAAAGGAAAACTGATATGTCTATAATATCATCATTGTTTAAGTTTACTCACTACATATCATTTCATACCTATATGATTCAGCCAGGATTAAAGTGTCTGTAAGAGTTTTACACATAGCATGTCATGAACTAAAGAGCAATGAGGGGCTATCATGTCTTGAAATGGAACCTTGTTTGAGTTATTTCACAACCTTAGGTTAAAAATGTGTAATGCAATTGCTTTGAAAAACTATTTCCCCTAAAAATAGAATAGCAAGCAGTGTGTCCTTCTCTTTTGTAAGTGAAGGTTTCCCCAGAAATCTTGAAACAAAGGTAAATTAAAAGAGAGCCCTAGAGCATAAAAGTATCTTTAGATTCTTTTATAAAATATCCTGCAGTGTTTTTATAGTAAGGATGTGCAGTCTAAGGCAGGATAGGAAGTGATATAAACTGCAGTCTCTTAGGTAAACTAACAAAATTTTCTGAAGGTTTGCCATATTTTTTATTGATTGGTCACATATTTATGCATACACAATTGTAAATTTACATGTGTTTTAACAATGAGAAAACAATTTTTCTCTTTAAATCTTTGGTTCTATATGTGTATATGGCAAATCTGCCATCTCTGTTACATTATGAAAATGTGGAATTAGATTAAACATGAAGAGCTCACATCTTTTACAAAGTGTTTGTGCACAAACAAGTATTTATGGCTTCATATTGAACAACTCCATCAATGCAGAGATAGATGGGTATATATTTCTATTTCACTTCCTTACAGGAACACACAGATATGTTTTCAACACAGAAACAATTCAGCTGCAAAACCCTAATTCTTAATTCCCATGTCTTTAGTCTTTTCCCTGTTCTATCTGATTCTGGGCTGTTCTATCTGATTGGGCAGAAGCCAATAAAATCAGGGATATTTTATAAATTTTTATCTTTTTTCATTTAAAAAGTAAAGGATATTGAAAAGTAGGGGTTTTTTTTCTCATATTATCTTTGCAATTTTTTTGCTACTCAAAGTTTTTGACAGTTGGAATCTGACATGGTATCAACAAAGAAAAAAATGAAAAAACTCAAAATTAGTAAAATTGACTGTTCTCCTGTGGATTTTCAATCAGGAATTGTGATGCCTCTGGTAATTTCTAGAGAGTTTCCTGCACAGTTTACTGCAAGAGACATATTAGTGTTATCATTGCTGCTACACTGCATGCATATATTCATTTGACACATTTTTACATTTCATAGAAATATCTATTGATTTTAGGTCTTCTGCAAGTGATGAGAAACAGGTGCTAGAGACAATTAAAAAGCAGTGTTGTTCAGTCATTCCCATGAAATCCAATTTGCTCACTCTCATAATGTGGTCATTTTATGGCATTCTGTCATTGAGACATGTAAGTGATTAGTCTGTTCGCATTAAATGGAGAAAAAAAATGCAATAAGGTTCAATTGCAAGTGCTTAGGAGCCAAAAGTCAGTCAGGTATCCAAGTCCAAAGCATCATCCAGCTGATGAACAGCAACATAAATATTTTAACTGTGGAATAGAAAATGCTTTGGGTGGAATAGGGAAAAATAATTCAGATTTTTAAAGAATTCTATTTTTTTTTTTGGTTCACTATATTCTCCGTGGCCAAATGTGACTAAATATGGATTTTGGCATTACTTTAAATGATCACTAGTGTCCTCTTGGCAGACTCCAGCGGGATGGTAGCATGTTAGTAGGAAAATCTCCTGAGATGTGACACTAAACAAAGAACAGATAAAGGCAGACTGCTGCTGAAGAACAAAATTAAAAAAAATAAAAATAATTTAAAAAATTATTTTCAGAGAGTACAGCACTAATAGTAAATAGCAATTTTTTTAATCCTCTAAATAAATGCAGATGACACACTCCACACTGTTTTACACTGCAGTTATTTGTGAGGAGGACTACTCTCCTCACTAAGGTTACTTATTATGCCAGTAAATCCTGTTTATGTCTGCACTCCAGTAGATGTTGGCATAAAGGAGAGCCAGATGATGATTAGCCTAAATCAAAAGAATTTTAATAATGCTGTGATGGTCTGTAAAACAGTGAAAATATTTATTGGATGTGGTAACTCGTGTTGCATGATGTTGGAATCAATGGGAGGCAGGTATATAAAATTTCTCCTTCTAGGATACATTTTTTTTCTTTCAGACTCTGAAATCCATTTGAATTTATCTCTCTGCAGACATACATGCCCTAAAGGGCGATTTTCTGTTAGAAAATAATGATGTTTGGCACCTAGACCTCACAATCTATAGTGATGAACATCTCTTGAAAAACATCTCAGTTTTTCTGGGAAGCATATTTTATTCTTTATTTCTTGAGGGTTTTCAGTTTCTCAGACTTAGCACGAGTGCTGATCTCTTGCTACAATCAATCCACATGCTGGGTGTTCATTTTCCCCAGAAAATTGTATTTTTCTGGAAAAAGTATAGTGGCTAAGACTGTGACCACATTTGAACTAGAAATGCTTGTCAGTGTGGCAATACTGGTTAGGGACCCAGCTTTTACAAAAAGTTTTCCTGGAAGCCATTGCATATTCATTTGGATATTTATATCATATAAATGGCTTCTGCTATTATAGTTTTCTTCATCTAACAATAAATAACATCAGCAAATTTGATCCTCAGACCAATCACACCCATCTAGAAAATCAGGCCTGAATATGCTCAGACCTTATCATAGTTTGAATTCTATAAGCTTAGATTATTGATATCTTCAAATATAGTCAACAGTGCAAAGCAATAAATCTGTTTAAAACAGTAGATTTAACGGATGACAAATTATTCATGCTTCAGCATGAAGCAAACAAAGTAAAGTTTTGTTTGTGTCTGCTAGGATGATTATATAACTCTGCAGTTCTTTATAGCAAATGTCTAATTATAAAAAAAGCTAGATTTTCTTCAATACTCCCTACTGGTTTGTTATTATGTGCATGTATCAGCAGCTTGCGCTGAAGATGAATTGGGATAATCAGAACAGGCATCCCACTGGATTGAGTTATTGGAACATTGCTGCATCTGACTGAGGCCTCAGGAGGATTTATATCTCCAAGGTAAGAAGGAGGCAGCCAGAGATTGTATTTAGCTAAAGAACAAATGCCATGTTTGTGCCTGAGTGCCCCCAGAGTGTACTTGTTTTCTGAGCCTCTGACTTACTGGAAATAATAATAAAAGGCTGCAAGTCATTATAAGGAATCTACTTAATTTAAAATATGTATTTTTGTGGTGTTTAGCTTTGAAATAAGAGCAATAATTTCTTATTATAATTTTTTTTTGTAAACTGTATTGCTTATGCTAAAAAAGGACAGCAGAAAATGTACTCCAGTTTATGTTATTTAAACTGCTATGCTAATAGCAAGTAGCTGGTATTAGTCACCTTGAGAATTCAGGCTTAGCAAGTACATTATAATTACTTTTTAAAATTCATCCCAGCTTTATTGTAAATCTTCAGCTATGCTTTTAATATATTATTTTCCTTATGTCTCATTTTTACAACCATTTATGCATATGCTTATTTTCATTTTCAGAATAGAGTCCTGTGAAAAGCCTAGAGCAGTTCCTGGTTTCTGCTCATGTTCTTGGGCTGAGAAGTAAATTCACATTCTACCGCATCTTTCTTCACTCCCATAGGGAAGATGTTCCTTTTCCTTGGTATGTCACAGCAATACCATAGAAAAAAAAGACTTAACTGGAGAGTGTAACCACTCCAGAGCAATTTTCCAACTATTTTATAAAGCTTCATGGACATCAAGGAACTTGAGAACTTTCTTCTAAGACTGTTCCTACACCAGTAGGTACAAAGTGATCTAAGATTGTTCTGCCTGAACTAACCAAGGAAATGTAGAAATGAGCATTTATGTACCTCCCTCATGTCTGGAATCAGTCAGGTGTGGGTAAATGAGTTATCTGGATGAGTACGATATGTGCATCCTGCAAAGGAAAGTTGTTTTAAGTAGAATGTATTTTCTTCAAATGAAACTGCATTGTTTTTAAATCTGAATTTAGACCTACAAGGAGCTGTTCTTTGCCATATAGGCTTGTTAGACATACTTCTTCTAGCTCAGACTGCTGATCTTCAGTAATTTCTTTTTCAGAGTTGATATGCTTTCAAAGAAATAATGAATATTTTCTGCTTTTTTTCACTCACAAGCGAAGCCCAAACTTCTGTTAGAGACATTTGTGTTCTTAGAAATGCTGACCTTTTCAATGCACTGGCATTCACCCAGGCACTTAAACACTTGTCTCCTTGGAGTAAAGATGTGTTTAGTTCAATTTTGAACAGCACAGACACTTCCTTTCACATTTCACCACCCTAGTCAAACAAGAAAGGTACTGAGATCTTGACAGGCGCAGAAGAGTTAGAATGATGTAAAATGACCTTTGCAACAATATGTCTGTTGCTGTTGTAGTGATATAGGCTATTTATTATTATATAATGACTTTGCAACCTCTGTGTTGCAGAGGGTCATCTAAAGAATTCTTAGCTTTCTTTATTTTTGTCAAGACATGAATGGGGAATATGAATAAACATTTATCTTTATGATCTCTTTGTAAGTGATTAAAATAATGGATTATAATTTTATAGCCCCTCTGAAAAAAAATCACTTCTGAGAAGCTGGTAAGAAGTGAACGAGTAAGATTAGGATAGGAAAGGAGTTGAATAATTACTAGCAAAAAGTATCTGTTTTTAAAGTTTTGCACACATGAGAGGAAATTCTTCACAGACAGAAATAGAGGATTTGGTTTTATGCACTATGCAACTATATCAAATAGTTTCTTTTAAAGGAAGTTGATAATTTTTTCATGCACATCCCTCTCTTTTTTTTTCTTTTAACAATAAGGCCTTCAATGGCTTAACAACTTGGCAAGTAAGGTTTAAGTGTAATCCCTGACAGAAGTATTAGAAACTTACAGAAGCTCAGTAGAATGGTGAAAGCAAAAGTAATTCAATCAGCCAGGAGCTGAGAACGGGATTAAAGTGCTGTAAAACAAAAGGACATTATTAAAGTTGTTTGGATCTTCTACATAAAAAACAAATTAAGAGAAAACCCCAAAACTGGAAGAAACCAAACCTCTTGCTTTTCATTAACATTTTAATTCTTATTCAATCTTTTCCAGACAGCAGAATGTTTCTGCCCTTTGCAAATTAAATTCACTGGTGAGTAATGAAGTAATGTCAATCATTAGGTTGGATCAGCCAGGGAAAATCCTCAGGCTATTATATCCCAAAATACAAGTTTCCTCTTTCAGACTTCATGGTACCTGCTCTCTATTTTGTCATCTTTGATGAAATGGCATAGAACTAAAATGAGGAAGACTCTTCCTTTGTATGAGCCAAATGATATGCTGGAGTAGTGAAGGGCAGATTTTCCCCTATTATTTCATTTGTTTTGAAATGTCCTAGAATCAGATTTTTAATAAAGGACCATATTTGAATGCTTCCTTCCTGAACCCATAAATGAAGCCTCAAAAAATAGGTTATCCTGCACTTGGAAGGTAGGTCCTTAAATAAATGTGTGTTCTGTCCTTCAACAGATTCTCTCAGCTGGGGCTTTAGCATTCTCTGTTCAAGAAACCTGCAACTTTGTAAAATGTCCGCTGCAAACAAATTTTTTCTTTCTGTATCAAAGTAACATTAGAAAAATTCCAGGTGCTGGACTTACAGTTTTTGGTCTCATCGTGTCTTCTTTTATCTGGCAAGTGTTTGTCAGACACACAGTGTTGGATACAATGTTCATGAATGTCTTTGGCAAATATATCAACAGTGTGAAGGACAGTCATGGCTACTTTTATTTCCTCTCTTCCTATCTTGGTGTCTTATTGGAACTGCAGTGGACAACATAAAAATATCTCAAGTTATTAAGAATATTAGAAATTTGTTAGCTAAAAGATTTTAGCAGAGAGTTTATATGTAATTTCCCTTAATCACATGATGAAGAAAGGTATAAGACATCTAAGTACAAAGACACTGCAATTTTTTTTGTCTATTCTTTCTTGGTAAGGCAGGATCTTTTTTATGAATTAACATAGTGTGGGCAACAAGTGTATAAAGATTATTTCCCAGTGTGCTAGCATATCAACAGGCATTTGTCTTCCTTGGTTTTCAATTAACTTTTTTTTTCATTTTTCTTCCTTTTTTTTCTTTTTTTTTTTTTTTTTTAAATTTTATTTTGTTGTTTGGGGTTTTTTCTTCTCATTTTAATCTTTTGTCTGATTTTAAATCAGTTCCAATTAGGAAATTTTACAGTATTAATGGCATTGTCAAATAACTTTCTGTGGAATATAATATTTCAGCGATTGTGGCTTGCTCTAGCAGGTGCTATCATAATGTTTTTTAAAATGGTAGATAGTTGTGAATGATTTTATATGCTACCTGTCTTCAACACCTCCATGTTAATTGGTTTCATGTCAGCATGATTAGCTATTTAAGTGTTCCTTTTCTCCCAGGGGGAATTAGCATGTTATTTAAAAGAAATATATTCAGATTTATTCTATTCTTAAATATTTATATTCATGTTTTCTAATTTCAGAGAAGAGCAGGTTGCATATTTTTATCCTTTTCCTGACTGCCTTTACATCAAGTACTTATTGTGCAATCTTTGCTCTACTTTCGATCATCTACTTGACAGACTATTTCTTTTTATGGATGTAGTAAAGACAGCAAGGACAAGTGGAGTTATTTGTCCAAGGTGACTAAGCAACCTCAAGCAGCAGAGTCATGAAGGTAACAAAGGTCTTCTGAGACACACGATTCTTTATCTGTTGATGTGTTCAGACTCTTTGCTAGAGAAAATTGCTGTTGCTTTTGCCTTTTGTTGCTCTGCAGAACCAATGCATCTCTCAGGGAGTGAACCAGGCTTGGTTCCAGCTGGCACCTCATCAACCAAATTCCTCATAGTCAGATTGCAGGGCCTTTGTAGGAGATGTGCAAGCCAGAGAAAAGCCAGCTTCACTTTCAGAGTCTAGGATGAGTTTGGGAATGGAGCAGTTAGAGGGAAATACCACAGCTTTTTTACATTTAAACTGAGAGCTGAGCAGGGGTAGTATGGAAATCATTGAGAGACAATAAACGAGAAACTTCCAATCCTTCTTTAATTATTCAGATTTTCATTTTGGGGCTAGTTAAAAGGGCAAAGCACCACTTTAAGAGTTGCAACTGCTGTGGTCTGACTACATCTACTTATCTCTCCTTACCAGCCTACTAACTCCACACAAGAAATTAAATCCTCAGGATGTTAGGGGATACTTGCCCAAAACCTCTACAACTCTTTACCTATATTTCTAATAAACAAAATAAAAAGCAAAAATGCAGTCTAATTTTTATTATATCTGTTGTTTTTTTTCTTAGAGATGAAAAAAATATTTTTAGGAAATTTTTTTCTGACAAATTTAGTTCTTATGTATCATTCATGAAAAGACTGTGCATACTTAATCATTTGCTCACTATTAATTGTTGATTGAACATGTAAAAGTAAATGCAAAAAAACCCCAATGTAATGAAATATGGGATTTTAAAATATTTACTTGTTTTCAAGGTAGGCAATATAAAACATTAGATACTAAGCAGTGTGGAAAAGACCTGAATATTGGCAATTTATAAACTGGTATAAAGATTTTTGTTTATTATTCTCTTATCAATCATGTTGGTCATTGCTCAGGGTAATGCAATCATGGTTTCTCTTTCCTGATCTGTTTAACAGCAATAGAGGGCAGTTGCAAGCCATGCACTGGACTCCAAGGAAGGAAGGAAGGAAGGGAGGAAGAGTGCAGTTCTCGTTCATTTTGATTTGCTGTTATTTTCTCTGTAACTGTATCCCATGCTGAACAGGTCATCAGACCTGTGTGCTACAGAAAGAAATGAAGAACCAATTTGCTCTAAATTGGCTTGGGCAAACTCTTTTATTTTGTCAAATTAGCCAGAATACTTGATTTCAAATTTATGACAACTTTTATGGGTTTTTTATGTTCCATGCCGAAGAACAGACCAGGCTTCATTTGACATAAAGTTGCTGATAAAAACTTAATTCATCAGGGTGCTTGAAGATACCTGAAA